GCTGGGATGAAAGAATCAATCCTTCTTTACACCTCAGGTTTTAAAAATCAGGCTGCTTTATAAATTCAGTTCATGGTAACATCAGGTGTAATCTTGATTCTTCAAACATGGTCTGGATGGTGGAATAGCCAAGTAAGAGCTGCCCTTCACACTGATTGCAAACCCAAATAACGAAGCAGGTGGCTGGTGAAAGTGTCCTTCCACCTCCATGCCTGGAGCTGCCTCTCACAGTTTCTGGTATGGGATGGCCTCCTGCAGTTTCCTCTTCCAAAGAAATCCTCCCACTGTGAGAGCAGCAGCTACCAGCACCACGATGGTCACAGCCAGAGGAACGTGGGAGCTGGCAGCAGGCTCTGAGCTCAGGGTCTCCCCTTTTGCCTGGATGTCAGAGGCCAGCCCTGCACATAAAAGAGTTGGAGAGAAACTTACTGTTTTGGTTTTTTCCCCTGAGCTGGTTAATTGCAAAGATAATTAGGCAAAGAGAATTTGAGTTAAAAAGCTCTAATCTGGATCTGATTGGAAAACTGCACATTATTTCACAAATTATTCTGTGGCCATGCAAAACAAGTAAAGATTGTGGCAAGAAATTAAAGAGAAACTGGAAGTCTGTGATGATTGCACTGAAAGACCTTAAGATGTTGCTTTCTGGTAGTGGAAACAGCAGCTACAGGACACTGAGAAACAGCATTTCCAAGAGGGCCTAGAGATTGATTGTAAATAAATAACAGACATGCAAATTAGGCACAGATATCTTTGGAAAATTAATGTCAATCAGATTAGTTACATCTCATCCCTCTTCCCATAGAATTTAACCAATTGCCACTTGATATGTGCAGAACAAAGAATGGATCTAAACTATGATAGAAAGAGCTTGTAAATCTAATAGAACTATTTTATACAAATAAAAAATAATAATCCCTCGTAAGAATTACAGCCAAATTGTAAATAAACTAGCAAAGGCACATTTCAGAGCTGGATTTCCTGTCTGAACTGAAATGCAAACAGACAGGAACACACAGAGTCTTACGTTATTCAAGATATTTAAACTTACCAATGTTCCTGCTCTCAGCGTGAGCTTCCCGAAGCTGCACGGGTCCAACAACAACATTCACTTGCTCGTGGGAAGAATCTGCATTCCTCCTGAACCTGCTCACACAGCCTTGGTAGCAGCGGGAGGGGAAGTCGTGGTACCTGCACACCAGCAGCTCGCAGCGCAGGAACACCGATGGGAATCGGTTCACGAACGAGAAGGCATTAAACCCAAACCGAGCGATGTCGCTCCGTGGCGAGGGGTAGAGAGAGTAGGTAGAGTCACTAGCACACCTGGAAGGACATGGAATCAACAGATTAGCTATTAACTCACAGCTTCTCATGAGCAGAAGCACCATTACAGCCGCTCTTTGCGTTAAACCCAAACCAAGCGACGTTGCCGCGTGGCGAGGGGAAGAGAGCGTAGCTAGGGTTACTGGAACACCTGGGAGGACAGACAATCAACATTAGGACATTAAATCAACATAAAATCAACAAGATTAGCTATTAACTCACACCCTCTCAGGAGCAGAAGTACTATTACACCCTCTCTTTGCAATAAGTTTCAAGGTTAAGTATAAAACCAGGAAGTAAAAGAGAAATCAAAAGACTTTTTAAAAGAAGTGCTTTTAGAAAGAAGAGAAATTACTTAAATGTGCACAGCACAGAAATTTCACAGCTTAACAAGTTCTGTGTAAACATGAATAGCTGAAAAATGGCTAGTGGTTCTGCTGGTTTCTGTGTTTCAGGTGAGAGCCTGTTATGCATTTGCAAACAGGATTAACTGTATGAAAAGAGGCCCTTGAAAGTTGTTGCAGAAAGAGAAAGTTCTCCTTTCTTCTCTGGAAACATGAAACTAATTTTAATATACCTTTTTTTAAAATAAACATTCTCTTTAGTGTTTCAATGTATTTTGGCAAAAATTTAGGCAAAGCGGTTTGGGTTTCTAGAATAGTAAGAAAAGGCTAAGGAATTTCTCTTCTTTTTGAGTAGACAGTTTTGTACTCCAGTTATGATGCTGTAAAACTCATGATGTACAGAAATGTAGAGCCATGGACACCCCTCCTTTTCATACATCTGTTTCAGAAACAAAATCAGACCTCAATTTCCTCACTGCCTCTTCGGGTGAACTCTCAGTGCTTGACTGCAACATTCAGAATGATGTTTGGTCGCCATTCTGAATTTTACTCAAGCTTTACCAAAAAGTTGTTCTTAGAAGAACATTTGCCCTGAGAATTACAGACAATGTACACTGGTCCTAAATCACCTCATTTCACAAATTAAGTTCTGTTAGAACAACACATAGAAATGCTTTTAAAGTAATTTTTTACAAAGTTCTTACCCACTCTTGCTCAATTCATAGACCAGTGTTCTAAAATCACTAGAATTAGGTGATGCCACACAGGTGTCCACAAACACGGTCAGATTTTGATCAGAGCTGTGAAGAGAAGCTTGGAGGAACAAATTCTGGTTCATGTCAACATAGTAAGGGAAGTCATGCACTGGCCACTGGAAAGATGAGGAGTTGTAGAACGTCAGGCTCACTTCGTATCTGCCATACTGGGTTTTGTTGACATCGATGATATCATCAGCAATGTACATGAGCTGAACCCAGGTGTTCTGCAGCATTTTGCAGCTGATGTGGAAGTGAAGGTCCTTTTTCCTCTTGATGACTGTGCCAGGAGCAGGCACTTTAATCAAGTTGGAGTAGGTGATTGTTTCGTTGTTGCCCTGTTTGACACATTAAATGAGTGTTGAATTTCCACATGAGGTCATGTTCACTGTGAGCATTATGAACTAATGTATGTGCCAGGTCCTGGTGGTCAGAAAGGACCTGTCACACTGAAAAATCCCAAGCACCCAGGATGGGATTGCCAACTTAACTCTCCCCTCTATTTTTGTTCTCTAGAACATCATTCTGAAATAGGTACCGGGAAGGATGTAAGTACTTTGGGAAGGATAAGTATAAATATTTAACCAAATTCAGCCTCCAGAAACACATGCTCCTTTTCTATGTTTTGCATGCCTGTGGCCTACAACACCCTTTGCAATCCATGACAATTTTCTAAATGTCCAATAAATTCCCATGCCCAGAGCTGTCCCAAATATCTTGACACCAACCTGTCTACTTGTACCACAGTCACTGTACGAAATGTTGAATATAACCTCAGTTGATGTAATTTTTGGTGTACACTGAGGGTCTGCCAGGCTGATGTTCCCCACTGAGTAGCCCTGGGACTCGAGATAATGTCTGTCTACCACTGCATACATGTAGGTTGGCAAGCACAGAAGGGCTAGGGGGAAAAAAATATATTAATTATTAGTGATTTTGGGTACTTGATAATGCTTTCATATTGGAAGTCCAACAAATGCAATCACTGCTGCCATTTAGAGAAGAGAATTCATAAGCCATACCACTTATTTTTACACTTGAGACTTAGATATGGGAAAGCAATAGGACAGTACTGGAACAGGTCACCCAGAGTAGTAGCTTTCAATATTTCATCCTTTGAATATTTCTCGACATTCAGCCAGACCAGTTCTTAATGGATTTGACCTGGTGTTGGCAGTAGCTCTGTTTTGAATAGACTTCAAAAGTCCCTTCTAACCAACATTTCTATGACTCTGTGAAAGTTTGTCCACAAAAATACATATGAATTATGATGTTGGACAAAGAATATGAGTTTAGAAAATAACAGAAAACATCTAAAGGCAAATGAATTGAATATTTTTAAAGAAAAAAAGTAGTTATTTTCTGAAAGTGAGCAGTCACAAAACTCAAACAGGAATATCATCTATGTAAGATTCCTTCAACAACATTAACAAATACTTATTTAGTAAAAAAAACCAGTGTATAAAAGCTTTTGAGCAACGCAAGCATTACTAAGAGAACAGAATTAGAAATAGAATTGAAATTTACTGGTGTTCCGGTCTGCTGGAAGGGACTGATACCGAGCCCTAAAACTTCCACTGGAATATCTGGAGTAAAATCTCACAGACATGAAGTTTGAAGATGAGGTGTATGTGAGATGAGAACTAGAACAAATTCTTCCAAGTAGAGGAGAAGATTTAGGTGGCCCATCATAGATCTCAATATAGTCATTTTGGCATCCACCTTGCAACCTGAGGAAGAAATGACAATATATTAAAAAATGCATTTGCTAAACTTTGGGGTTTAAATGCTGAACAAACAATATAATAGGATTCTGTGCTCACACATTTCCCATGTATATATATCATTCACTTATAGGATGGGAAATGTGCCCAGGAACTGTGGATGCAGTTGAGATTTGGAATTTTTTAATTGCCCAAGCATAAAGTGGTTTACTTACTGAATGTTATCAAATGTGAGTGTAATGAGGAAATTGTTTGTTACATGTATTTGCCACAAACAATCTGCTTCATCTGAAGGGTTCAAAGAAGGACTCTGAAATGTTCCAGAGGACTTAAAAAGTGTATCACCACAAATAATTTTTTGACCTGAAAAAGGAAAGAAAAAGAAAAGAAATTTAGGGATAGAAGTGATTAATTTAGCTTTCCTTTGGATCAAATAAAAATATGTTGTATATACAGAAACCGTGGAAACACAAGGTTAAATCTCAAAAGAAACGTAATGATTGTGCTCCTCTCAGTTAGGCTACAAGAGTGATGAACTCTTCAGAGAATTATGACCTGTGATTGCAATTATTAACTCTGTGGGCTTCAGGCACATGGGTATGAAATAAAGTAAAAGGTTGTCACCTTAATGCCATAAAATCAGAGAATGAACAAAAGAAAATCTCACATGTAATCACCATACCATGAAATCCACCCCCAGCCATAGAATCACTCAAACACAAAAGACTAATGTATAGCATATAACGAATTAAAACCAAAAAATTGAAACCAAAACATAATCCCCAACACACACCCGTATCCCCAGCCAAGAGGGGACACTTCCTGAAAGAGTCCCAGCATGCAGGCAGTCAGACCAGTGGTACCTGAGCACACAACACCAGCATCTTCACCGTGGCCACAATTGTGGACGCCCCAACCACGGTGGCTGCACTGGAAGAGGGATGATTCTGATCCCATGCAGTTCACATCGTCCAGGTAGATGCTGCCATTGCCTTGTCCAAAGGAGGCCCCTGATGTTGCAGAAACAGCATCTCCACATCCCAGCTGCCTGCACACCACCTGGGCATCGCTCAGGTCCCAGTCATCGTCACAGACAGTGCCCCGGCCCCCAGAGTGGGAAATCTCCACGCGACCCTCGCAGCGGTTCCCGCCGTTCACCAGGCTGATGGTGGTGGCATCTGGGAAAGAAGGAGATACAGATCCTCTAGCACAAAGGCAACTCTTCTTGCCAGGGTGATGCCTTTCTCAACCTGGAAATGAAACAACAAAGCTTTGGGGGTAATTTTTGTACTGGAAGTAATATAAAAGTGGATCTTCATTGGAGGCCTCCACGACAGATAGGGAAAAATGTCCACAAAACTCACAAAATATCCACAAGTGGTGATGCAACTTCTCCCCAGTGCAAGTCCCTTCAAAGTCCTCTCTGCCTACAAATGGGACTGTACTTTGTTGATGAAATGTGTCTGAAGAGCCATTTTTCGGCACTTTTAGCCAGGAAGAACCAAGATAGCATAGGGATCCTAGAATGAGTTCTGACTTCCTGACTAGGAACATGCTGGTGCGATGTTACAATAAAAACCGACAAAGCTACAAATATGTTTGTAAAGGATATAGAGAATATATAAAGGAAAAAAGATAGTAACCAAGATGGCATCCAGGCCATGGAAACACTCTGTGAGTTTCAGGCCACGACAACACCCAGTCTTGGCTGTCATAAACTGCTTTTCCTGGCTTCTCCTGTCCCAGGAGAAAACTAAACACCAAACACTGAGGCACTAATTGTTTCTGCAAAAACCTGCGGTCAGAAACCCCAGGAGAAATTCAGACCCACAGTAAGAACAGGGAAGGTGATGCTGGGAGCGGTTGTGCCTGTACATATAGCATCTGTAGGGGAGGAAAGAGGCAGGTGAGGCCTGCTGGATGAAAGTTTGTGCTTGACTTTCTCTCCGTGTTGGGCAGGTTGCTGCCAGCTTGGCATATGGGCAGTGGAGAAACCTGGGGTGTCAGCAGGATGGTTTCTAAGAGTGGGAGCAACCAAAAACATGACCCTGCCCTCATTCCCAACAAATCATCTAAATCCAGCTAACTAAGACCACCCTCTGAAAAAGTCGAGAATGGTGGCAGTCAAACCAGTGGTACCTGAGCACACAACACCAGCATCTTCACTGTGGCCGCAATTGTGGACGCCCCAACCACGGTGACTGCACTGGAAGATGGATGACTCCCAGCCTGCACAGTTCACATCGTCCAGGTAGATGCTGCCACTGCCTTGTCCAAAGGAGGCCCCTGATGTTGCAGAAACAGCAGAGCCACATCCCAGCTGCCTGCACACCACCTGGGCATCGCTCAGGTCCCAGCCATCGTCACAGACAGTGCCCCGGCCCCCAGAGTGGGAAATCTCCACGCGACCCTCGCAGCGGCTCCCGCCGTTCACCAGGCTGATGGTGGCACCTGGGAGAGAAAGAGGTGTGGAAACCTTGGCAAGAGATTTCAGCACAAAGGCATGTTCTCTTGCCACAGAGAAATCACTCCATGAATTTCAGGCCACCACAACTCCCAATCTCGGCTGTATTAAACTGCTTTTCCTGGTTTCTCCTCTCCTATGGAGAAAACCAGACACCAAACTCTGAGGCACTAATTGTTTCTGCAAAAAGCAATGTCCAGAAAACCCAGGAGAAATTCAGACCCACCTGAAGGAACGGAGGTGATGGGGCTGAATGTAGTTGTTCTTGGGGCACCTGTAGGGGAGGAAAGGAAAGAAGGATGCGAGGCCTGTTGGATGGAGATCCATGTTCGCCTTTCTCCCAGTGCTGGGCACGTTGCTGCCGGCGTGGCACACGGGCAGTGGAGAGGCTGGAGGTGTCAGCAGAATGGTCCCCATGGTGGGATCCACAAAAACACAATTGCACACCCATCCCCAGCCAAGAGGGGACACTGCCTGAAAGAGTCCCAGCGTGCAGGCAGCCATAGCAGTGGTACCTGAGCACACATCAGCATCTTCACTGTGGCCACAATTGTGGACTCCCCAGCAGCTGTGGCTGCACTTCTAGAGGGATGATTCTGATCCCATGCAGCTCTCAGTCTCAGCTGCGTTCTGCTGTGCTTTTTCCAGGCTCTGCTCTCCCTTAGAGGAGACTAAATCCCAACCACTGAGGCACTAATTGTTTCTGCAGAAAGCACCAGCCAGAAAAGGCAAGAGAAATTCTGACCCACCTGAAGAAGTGGAGGTGGTGGGGTAGTCTGTAGTTATGCTTGCAGCATCTGTAGGGGAGGAAAGGAAAGGAGGTGAGGCCTGTTGGATGAAGATCCATGCCTGCCTTTCTCCCAGTGCTGGGCACGTTGCTGCCAGCTTGGCACACGGGCCATGGAGAGCCTGGGGATGTCACCAGAATGGTCTCTCATGGTGGGAGCAACCAAAAACATGACCCTGCCCTCACCCCAACAAACCATCTAATTCCAGCTAACTAAGACCAATCTCTGAAAAATTCATAGTATGCAGGCAGTCAAACCAGTGGTACCTGAGCACACAACACCAGCATCTTCACTGTGGCCGCAATTGTGGACGCCCCAACCACGGTGACTGCACTGGAAGATGGATGACTCCCAGCCTGCACAGTTCACATCGTCCAGGTAGATGCTGCCACTGCCTTGTCCAAAGGAGGCCCCTGATGTTGCAGAAACAGCAGAGCCACATCCCAGCTGCCTGCACACCACCTGGGCATCGCTCAGGTCCCAGCCATCGTCACAGACAGTGCCCCGGCCCCCAGAGTGGGAAATCTCCACGCGACCCTCGCAGCGGCTCCCGCCGTTCACCAGGCTGATGGTGGCACCTGGGAGAGAAAGAGGTGTGGAAACCTTGGCAAGAGATTTCAGCACAAAGGCATGTTCTCTTGCCACAGAGAAATCACTCCATGAATTTCAGGCCACCACAACTCCCAATCTCGGCTGTATTAAACTGCTTTTCCTGGTTTCTCCTCTCCTATGGAGAAAACCAGACACCAAACTCTGAGGCACTAATTGTTTCTGCAAAAAGCAATGTCCAGAAAATCCAGGAGAAATTCAGACCCACCTGAAGGAACGGAGGTGATGGGGCTGAATGTAGTTGTTCTTGGGGCACCTGTAGGGGAGGAAAGGAAAGAAGGATGCGAGGCCTGTTGGATGGAGATCCATGTTCGCCTTTCTCCCAGTGCTGGGCACGTTGCTGCCGGCGTGGCACACGGGCAGTGGAGAGGCTGGAGGTGTCAGCAGAATGGTCCCCATGGTGGGATCCACAAAAACACAATTGCACACCCATCCCCAGCCAAGAGGGGACACTGCCTGAAAGAGTCCCAGCATGCAGGCAGCCATAGCAGTGGTACCTGAGCACACATCAGCATCTTCACTGTGGCCGCAATTGTGGACTCCCCAGCAGCTGTGGCTGCACTTCTAGAGGGATGATTCTGATCCCATGCAGCTCTCAGTCTCAGCTGCGTTCTGCTGTGCTTTTTGCAGGCTCTGCTCTCCCTTAGAGGAGACTAAACCCCGACCACTGAGGCACTAATTGTTTCTGCAGAAAGCACCAGCCAGAAAAGGCAAGAGAAATTCTGACCCACCTGAAGAAGTGGAGGTGGTGGGGTAGTCTGTAGTTATGCTTGCAGCATCTGTAGGGGAGGAAAGGAAAGGAGGTGAGGCCTGTTGGATGAAGATCCATGCCTGCCTTTCTCCCAGTGCTGGGCACGTTGCTGCCAGCTTGGCACACGGGCCATGGAGAGCCTGGGGATGTCACCAGAATGGTCTCTCATGGTGGGAGCAACCAAAAACGTGACCCTGCCCTCACCCCAACAAACCATCTAATTCCAGCTAACTAAGACCACCCTCTGAAAAATTCATAGCATGCAGGCAGTCAGACCAGTGGTACCTGAGCACACAACACCAGCATCTTCACTGTGGCCGCAATTGTGGACGCCCCAACCACGGTGACTGCACTGGAAGATGGATGACTCCCAGCCTGCACAGTTCACATCGTCCAGGTAGATGCTGCCACTGCCTTGTCCGAAGGAGGCCCCTGATGTTGCAGAAACAGCAGAGCCACATCCCAGCTGCCTGCACACCACCTGGGCATCGCTCAGGTCCCAGTCATCGTCACAGACAGTGCCCCGGCCCCCAGAGTGGGAAATCTCCACGCGACCCTCGCAGCGGCTCCCGCCGTTCACCAGGCTGATGGTGGCATCTGGGAGAGAAGGAGGTGTGGAAAACTTGGGAAGAGATTTTAGCACAAAGGTATTTTCTCTTGCCACAGAGAAATCACTCCATGAATTTCAGGCCACCACAACTCCCAATCTCGGCTGTATTAAACTGCTTTTCCTGGTTTCTCCTCTCCTATGGAGAAAACCAGACACCAAACTCTGAGGCACTAATTGTTTCTGCAAAAAGCAATGTCCAGAAAACCCAGGAGAAATTCAGACCCACCTGAAGGAACGGAGGTGATGGGGCTGAATGTAGTTGTTCTTGGGGCACCTGTAGGGGAGGAAAGGAAAGAAGGATGCGAGGCCTGTTGGATGGAGATCCATGTTCGCCTTTCTCCCAGTGCTGGGCACGTTGCTGCCGGCGTGGCACACGGGCAGTGGAGAGGCTGGAGGTGTCAGCAGAATGGTCCCCATGGTGGGATCCACAAAAACACAATTGCACACCCATCCCCAGCCAAGAGGGGACACTGCCTGAAAGAGTCCCAGCGTGCAGGCAGCCATAGCAGTGGTACCTGAGCACACATCAGCATCTTCACTGTGGCCGCAATTGTGGACTCCCCAGCAGCTGTGGCTGCACTTCTAGAGGGATGATTCTGATCCCATGCAGCTCTCAGTCTCAGCTGCGTTCTGCTGTGCTTTTTCCAGGCTCTGCTCTCCCTTAGAGGAGACTAAACCCCAACCACTGAGGCACTAATTGTTTCTGCAGAAAGCACCAGCCAGAAAAGGCAAGAGAAATTCTGACCCACCTGAAGAAGTGGAGGTGGTGGGGTAGTCTGTAGTTATGCTTGCAGCATCTGTAGGGGAGGAAAGGAAAGGAGGTGAGGCCTGTTGGATGAAGATCCATGCCTGCCTTTCTCCCAGTGCTGGGCACGTTGCTGCCAGCTTGGCACACGGGCCATGGAGAGCCTGGGGATGTCACCAGAATGGTCTCTCATGGTGGGAGCAACCAAAAACGTGACCCTGCCCTCACCCCAACAAACCATCTAATTCCAGCTAACTAAGACCACCCTCTGAAAAATTCATAGCATGCAGGCAGTCAGACCAGTGGTACCTGAGCACACAACACCAGCATCTTCACTGTGGCCGCAATTGTGGACGCCCCAACCACGGTGACTGCACTGGAAGATGGATGACTCCCAGCCTGCACAGTTCACATCGTCCAGGTAGATGCTGCCACTGCCTTGTCCGAAGGAGGCCCCTGATGTTGCAGAAACAGCAGAGCCACATCCCAGCTGCCTGCACACCACCTGGGCATCGCTCAGGTCCCAGTCATCGTCACAGACAGTGCCCCGGCCCCCAGAGTGGGAAATCTCCACGCGACCCTCGCAGCGGCTCCCGCCGTTCACCAGGCTGATGGTGGCATCTGGGAGAGAAGGAGGTGTGGAAAACTTGGGAAGAGATTTTAGCACAAAGGTATTTTCTCTTGCCACAGAGAAATCACTCCATGAATTTCAGGCCACCACAACTCCCAATCTCGGCTGTATTAAACTGCTTTTCCTGGTTTCTCCTCTCCTATGGAGAAAACCAGACACCAAACTCTGAGGCACTAATTGTTTCTGCAAAAAGCAATGTCCAGAAAACCCAGGAGAAATTCAGACCCACCTGAAGGAACGGAGGTGATGGGGCTGAATGTAGTTGTTCTTGGGGCACCTGTAGGGGAGGAAAGGAAAGAAGGATGCGAGGCCTGTTGGATGGAGATCCATGTTCGCCTTTCTCCCAGTGCTGGGCACGTTGCTGCCGGCGTGGCACACGGGCAGTGGAGAGGCTGGAGGTGTCAGCAGAATGGTCCCCATGGTGGGATCCACAAAAACACAATTGCACACCCATCCCCAGCCAAGAGGGGACACTGCCTGAAAGAGTCCCAGCGTGCAGGCAGCCATAGCAGTGGTACCTGAGCACACATCAGCATCTTCACTGTGGCCGCAATTGTGGACTCCCCAGCAGCTGTGGCTGCACTTCTAGAGGGATGATTCTGATCCCATGCAGCTCTCAGTCTCAGCTGCGTTCTGCTGTGCTTTTTCCAGGCTCTGCTCTCCCTTAGAGGAGACTAAACCCCAACCACTGAGGCACTAATTGTTTCTGCAGAAAGCACCAGCCAGAAAAGGCAAGAGAAATTCTGACCCACCTGAAGAAGTGGAGGTGGTGGGGTAGTCTGTAGTTATGCTTGCAGCATCTGTAGGGGAGGAAAGGAAAGGAGGTGAGGCCTGTTGGATGAAGATCCATGCCTGCCTTTCTCCCAGTGCTGGGCACGTTGCTGCCAGCTTGGCACACGGGCCATGGAGAGCCTGGGGATGTCACCAGAATGGTCTCTCATGGTGGGAGCAACCAAAAACATGACCCTGCCCTCACCCCAACAAACCATCTAATTCCAGCTATCTAAGACCACCCTCTGAAAAATTCATAGTATGCAGGCAGTCAGACCAGTGGTACCTGAGCACACAACACCAGCATCTTCACTGTGGCCGCAATTGTGGACGCCCCAACCACGGTGACTGCACTGGAAGATGGATGACTCCCAGCCTGCACAGTTCACATCGTCCAGGTAGATGCTGCCACTGCCTTGTCCAAAGGAGGCCCCTGATGTTGCAGAAACAGCATCTCCACATCCCAGCTGCCTGCACACCACCTGGGCATCACTCAGGTCCCAGTCATCGTCACAGACAGTGCCCCGGCCCCCAGAGTGGGAAATCTCCACGCGACCCTCGCAGCGGCTCCCGCCGTTCACCAGGCTGATGGTGGCACCTGGGAGAGAAAGAGGTGTGGAAACCTTGGCAAGAGATTTCAGCACAAGGGCATGTTCTCTTGCCACAGAGAAATCACTCCATGAATTTCAGGCCACCACAACTCCCAATCTCGGCTGTATTAAACTGCTTTTCCTGGTTTCTCCTCTCCTATGGAGAAAACCAGACACCAAACTCTGAGGCACTAATTGTTTCTGCAAAAAGCAATGTCCAGAAAACCCTGGGGAAATTCAGACCCACCTGAAGGAACGGAGGTGATGGGCCTGAATGTAGTTGTTCTTGGGGCACCTGTAGGGGAGGAAAGGAAAGAAGGATGCGAGGCCTGTTGGATGGAGATCCATGTTCGCCTTTCTCCCAGTGCTGGGCACGTTGCTGCCGGCGTGGCACACGGGCAGTGGAGAGGCTGGAGGTGTCAGCAGAATGGTCCCCATGGTGGGATCCACAAAAACACAATTGCACACCCATCCCCAGCCAAGAGGGGACACTGCCTGAAAGAGTCCCAGCATGCAGGCAGCCATAGCAGTGGTACCTGAGCACACATCAGCATCTTCACTGTGGCCGCAATTGTGGACTCCCCAGCAGCTGTGGCTGCACTTCTAGAGGGATGATTCTGATCCCATGCAGCTCTCAGTCTCAGCTGCGTTCTGCTGTGCTTTTTCCAGGCTCTGCTCTCCCTTAGAGGAGACTAAACCCCAACCACTGAGGCACTAATTGTTTCTGCAGAAAGCACCAGCCAGAAAAGGCAAGAGAAATTCTGACCCACCTGAAGAAGTGGAGGTGGTGGGGTAGTCTGTAGTTATGCTTGCAGCATCTGTAGGGGAGGAAAGGAAAGGAGGTGAGGCCTGTTGGATGAAGATCCATGCCTGCCTTTCTCCCAGTGCTGGGCACGTTGCTGCCAGCTTGGCACAGGGGCCATGGAGAGCCTGGGGATGTCACCAGAATGGTCTCTCATGGTGGGAGCAACCAAAAACGTGACCCTGCCCTCACCCCAACAAACCATCTAATTCCAGCTAACTAAGACCACCCTCTGAAAAATTCATAGCATGCAGGCAGTCAGACCAGTGGTACCTGAGCACACAACACCAGCATCTTCACTGTGGCCGCAATTGTGGACGCCCCAACCACGGTGACTGCACTGGAAGATGGATGACTCCCAGCCTGCACAGTTCACATCGTCCAGGTAGATGCTGCCACTGCCTTGTCCAAAGGAGGCCCCTGATGTTGCAGAAACAGCAGAGCCACATCCCAGCTGCCTGCACACCACCTGGGCATCGCTCAGGTCCCAGTCATCGTCACAGACAGTGCCCCGGCCCCCAGAGTGGGAAATCTCCACGCGACCCTCGCAGCGGCTCCCGCCGTTCACCAGGCTGATGGTGGCATCTGGGAGAGAAGGAGGTGTGGAAAACTTGGGAAGAGATTTTAGCACAAAGGTATTTTCTCTTGCCACAGAGAAATCACTCCATGAATTTCAGGCCACCACAACTCCCAATCTCGGCTGTATTAAACTGCTTTTCCTGGTTTCTCCTCTCCTATGGAGAAAACCAGACACCAAACTCTGAGGCACTAATTGTTTCTGCAAAAAGCAATGTCCAGAAAACCCAGGAGAAATTCAGACCCACCTGAAGGAACGGAGGTGATGGGGCTGAATGTAGTTGTTCTTGGGGCACCTGTAGGGGAGGAAAGGAAAGAAGGATGCGAGGCCTGTTGGATGGAGATCCATGTTCGCCTTTCTCCCAGTGCTGGGCACGTTGCTGCCGGCGTGGCACACGGGCAGTGGAGAGGCTGGAGGTGTCAGCAGAATGGTCCCCATGGTGGGATCCACAAAAACACAATTGCACACCCATCCCCAGCCAAGAGGGGACACTGCCTGAAAGAGTCCCAGCGTGCAGGCAGCCATAGCAGTGGTACCTGAGCACACATCAGCATCTTCACTGTGGCCGCAATTGTGGACTCCCCAGCAGCTGTGGCTGCACTTCTAGAGGGATGATTCTGATCCCATGCAGCTCTCAGTCTCAGCTGCGTTCTGCTGTGCTTTTTCCAGGCTCTGCTCTCCCTTAGAGGAGACTAAACCCCAACCACTGAGGCACTAATTGTTTCTGCAGAAAGCACCAGCCAGAAAAGGCAAGAGAAATTCTGACCCACCTGAAGAAGTGGAGGTGGTGGGGTAGTCTGTAGTTATGCTTGCAGCATCTGTAGGGGAGGAAAGGAAAGGAGGTGAGGCCTGTTGGATGAAGATCCATGCCTGCCTTTCTCCCAGTGCTGGGCACGTTGCTGCCAGCTTGGCACACGGGCCATGGAGAGCCTGGGGATGTCACCAGAATGGTCTCTCATGGTGGGAGCAACCAAAAACATGACCCTGCCCTCACCCCAACAAACCATCTAATTCCAGCTATCTAAGACCACCCTCTGAAAAATTCATAGCATGCAGGCAGTCAGACCAGTGGTACCTGAGCACACAACACCAGCATCTTCACTGTGGCCGCAATTGTGGACGCCCCAACCACGGTGACTGCACTGGAAGATGGATGACTCCCAGCCTGCACAGTTCACATCGTCCAGGTAGATGCTGCCACTGCCTTGTCCAAAGGAGGCCCCTGATGTTGCAGAAACAGCATCTCCACATCCCAGCTGCCTGCACACCACCTGGGCATCACTCAGGTCCCAGTCATCGTCACAGACAGTGCCCCGGCCCCCAGAGTGGGAAATCTCCACGCGACCCTCGCAGCGGCTCCCGCCGTTCACCAGGCTGATGGTGGCACCTGGGAGAGAAAGAGGTGTGGAAACCTTGGCAAGAGATTTCAGCACAAGGGCATGTTCTCTTGCCACAGAGAAATCACTCCATGAATTTCAGGCCACCACAACTCCCAATCTCGGCTGTATTAAACTGCTTTTCCTGGTTTCTCCTCTCCTATGGAGAAAACCAGACACCAAACTCTGAGGCACTAATTGTTTCTGCAAAAAGCAATGTCCAGAAAACCCTGGGGAAATTCAGACCCACCTGAAGGAACGGAGTTGATGGGCCTAAATGTAGTTGTTCTTGGGGCACCTGTAGGGGAGGAAAGGAAAGAAGGATGCGAGGCCTGTTGGATGGAGATCCATGTTCGCCTTTCTCCCAGTGCTGGGCACGTTGCTGCCGGCGTGGCACACGGGCAGTGGAGAGGCTGGAGGTGTCAGCAGAATGGTCCCCATGGTGGGATCCACAAAAACACAATTGCACACCCATCCCCAGCCAAGAGGGGACACTGCCTGAAAGAGTCCCAGCATGCAGGCAGCCATAGCAGTGGTACCTGAGCACACATCAGCATCTTCACTGTGGCCGCAATTGTGGACTCCCCAGCAGCTGTGGCTGCACTTCTAGAGGGATGATTCTGATCCCATGCAGCTCTCAGTCTCAGCTGCGTTCTGCTGTGCTTTTTCCAGGCTCTGCTCTCCCTTAGAGGAGACTAAACCCCAACCACTGAGGCACTAATTGTTTCTGCAGAAAGCACCAGCCAGAAAAGGCAAGAGAAATTCTGACCCACCTGAAGAAGTGGAGGTGGTGGGGTAGTCTGTAGTTATGCTTGCAGCATCTGTAGGGGAGGAAAGGAAAGGAGGTGAGGCCTGTTGGATGAAGATCCATGCCTGCCTTTCTCCCAGTGCTGGGCACGTTGCTGCCAGCTTGGCACACGGGCCATGGAGAGCCTGGGGATGTCACCAGAATGGTCTCTCATGGTGGGAGCAACCAAAAACGTGACCCTGCCCTCACCCCAACAAACCATCTAATTCCAGCTAACTAAGACCACCCTCTGAAAAATTCATAGCATGCAGGCAGTCAGACCAGTGGTACCTGAGCACACAACACCAGCATCTTCACTGTGGCCGCAATTGTGGACGCCCCAACCACGGTGACTGCACTGGAAGATGGATGACTCCCAGCCTGCACAGTTCACATCGTCCAGGTAGATGCTGCCACTGCCTTGTCCAAAGGAGGCCCCTGATGTTGCAGAAACAGCAGAGCCACATCCCAGCTGCCTGCACACCACCTGGGCATCGCTCAGGTCCCAGTCATCGTCACAGACAGTGCCCCGGCCCCCAGAGTGGGAAATCTCCACGCGACCCTCGCAGCGGCTCCCGCCGTTCACCAGGCTGATGGTGGCATCTGGGAGAGAAGGAGGTGTGGAAAACTTGGGAAGAGATTTTAGCACAAAGGTATTTTCTCTTGCCACAGAGAAATCACTCCATGAATTTCAGGCCACCACAACTCCCAATCTCGGCTGTATTAAACTGCTTTTCCTGGTTTCTCCTCTCCTATGGAGAAAACCAGACACCAAACTCTGAGGCACTAATTGTTTCTGCAAAAAGCAATGTCCAGAAAACCCAGGAGAAATTCAGACCCACCTGAAGGAACGGAGGTGATGGGGCTGAATGTAGTTGTTCTTGGGGCACCTGTAGGGGAGGAAAGGAAAGAAGGATGCGAGGCCTGTTGGATGGAGATCCATGTTCGCCTTTCTCCCAGTGCTGGGCACGTTGCTGCCGGCGTGGCACACGGGCAGTGGAGAGGCTGGAGGTGTCAGCAGAATGGTCCCCATGGTGGGATCCACAAAAACACAATTGCACACCCATCCCCAGCCAAGAGGGGACACTGCCTGAAAGAGTCCCAGCGTGCAGGCAGCCATAGCAGTGGTACCTGAGCACACATCAGCATCTTCACTGTGGCCGCAATTGTGGACTCCCCAGCAGCTGTGGCTGCACTTCTAGAGGGATGATTCTGATCCCATGCAGCTCTCAGTCTCAGCTGCGTTCTGCTGTGCTTTTTCCAGGCTCTGCTCTCCCTTAGAGGAGACTAAACCCCAACCACTGAGGCACTAATTGTTTCTGCAGAAAGCACCAGCCAGAAAAGGCAAGAGAAATTCTGACCCACCTGAAGAAGTGGAGGTGGTGGGGTAGTCTGTAGTTATGCTTGCAGCATCTGTAGGGGAGGAAAGGAAAGGAGGTGAGGCCTGTTGGATGAAGATCCATGCCTGCCTTTCTCCCAGTGCTGGGCACGTTGCTGCCAGCTTGGCACACGGGCCATGGAGAGCCTGGGGATGTCACCAGAATGGTCTCTCATGGTGGGAGCAACCAAAAACATGACCCTGCCCTCACCCCAACAAACCATCTAATTCCAGCTATCTAAGACCACCCTCTGAAAAATTCATAGCATGCAGGCAGTCAGACCAGTGGTACCTGAGCACACAACACCAGCATCTTCACTGTGGCCGCAATTGTGGACGCCCCAACCACGGTGACTGCACTGGAAGATGGATGACTCCCAGCCTGCACAGTTCACATCGTCCAGGTAGATGCTGCCACTGCCTTGTCCAAAGGAGGCCCCTGATGTTGCAGAAACAGCAGAGCCACATCCCAGCTGCCTGCACACCACCTGGGCATCACTCAGGTCCCAGTCATCGTCACAGACAGTGCCCCGGCCCCCAGAGTGGGAAATCTCCACGCGACCCTCGCAGCGGCTCCCGCCGTTCACCAGGCTGATGGTGGCACCTGGGAGAGAAAGAGGTGTGGAAACCTTGGCAAGAGATTTCAGCACAAGGGCATGTTCTCTTGCCACAGAGAAATCACTCCATGAATTTCAGGCCACCACAACTCCCAATCTCGGCTGTATTAAACTGCTTTTCCTGGTTTCTCCTCTCCTATGGAGAAAACCAGACACCAAACTCTGAGGCACTAATTGTTTCTGCAAAAAGCAATGTCCAGAAAACCCTGGGGAAATTCAGACCCACCTGAAGGAACGGAGTTGATGGGCCTAAATGTAGTTGTTCTTGGGGCACCTGTAGGGGAGGAAAGGAAAGAAGGATGCGAGGCCTGTTGGATGGAGATCCATGTTCGCCTTTCTCCCAGTGCTGGGCACGTTGCTGCCGGCGTGGCACACGGGCAGTGGAGAGGCTGGAGGTGTCAGCAGAATGGTCCCCATGGTGGGATCCACAAAAACACAATTGCACACCCATCCCCAGCCAAGAGGGGACACTGCCTGAAAGAGTCCCAGCATGCAGGCAGCCATAGCAGTGGTACCTGAGCACACATCAGCATCTTCACTGTGGCCGCAATTGTGGACTCCCCAGCAGCTGTGGCTGCACTTCTAGAGGGATGATTCTGATCCCATGCAGCTCTCAGTCTCAGCTGCGTTCTGCTGTGCTTTTTCCAGGCTCTGCTCTCCCTTAGAGGAGACTAAACCCCAACCACTGAGGCACTAATTGTTTCTGCAGAAAGCACCAGCCAGAAAAGGCAAGAGAAATTCTGACCCACCTGAAGAAGTGGAGGTGGTGGGGTAGTCTGTAGTTATGCTTGCAGCATCTGTAGGGGAGGAAAGGAAAGGAGGTGAGGCCTGTTGGATGAAGATCCATGCCTGCCTTTCTCCCAGTGCTGGGCACGTTGCTGCCAGCTTGGCACAGGGGCCATGGAGAGCCTGGGGATGTCACCAGAATGGTCTCTCATGGTGGGAGCAACCAAAAACGTGACCCTGCCCTCACCCCAACAAACCATCTAATTCCAGCTAACTAAGACCAATCTCTGAAAAATTCATAGTATGCAGGCAGTCAGACCAGTGGTACCTGAGCACACAACACCAGCATCTTCACTGTGGCCGCAATTGTGGACGCCCCAACCACGGTGACTGCACTGGAAGATGGATGACTCCCAGCCTGCACAGTTCACATCGTCCAGGTAGATGCTGCCACTGCCTTGTCCAAAGGAGGCCCCTGATGTTGCAGAAACAGCAGAGCCACATCCCAGCTGCCTGCACACCACCTGGGCATCGCTCAGGTCCCAGCCATCGTCACAGACAGTGCCCCGGCCCCCAGAGTGGGAAATCTCCACGCGACCCTCGCAGCGGCTCCCGCCGTTCACCAGGCTGATGGTGGCACCTGGGAGAGAAAGAGGTGTGGAAACCTTGGCAAGAGATTTCAGCACAAAGGCATGTTCTCTTGCCACAGAGAAATCACTCCATGAATTTCAGGCCACCACAACTCCCAATCTCGGCTGTATTAAACTGCTTTTCCTGGTTTCTCCTCTCCTATGGAGAAAACCAGACACCAAACTCTGAGGCACTAATTGTTTCTGCAAAAAGCAATGTCCAGAAAACCCAGGAGAAATTCAGACCCACCTGAAGGAACGGAGGTGATGGGGCTGAATGTAGTTGTTCTTGGGGCACCTGTAGGGGAGGAAAGGAAAGAAGGATGCGAGGCCTGTTGGATGGAGATCCATGTTCGCCTTTCTCCCAGTGCTGGGCACGTTGCTGCCGGCGTGGCACACGGGCAGTGGAGAGGCTGGAGGTGTCAGCAGAATGGTCCCCATGGTGGGATCCACAAAAACACAATTGCACACCCATCCCCAGCCAAGAGGGGACACTGCCTGAAAGAGTCCCAGCGTGCAGGCAGCCATAGCAGTGGTACCTGAGCACACATCAGCATCTTCACTGTGGCCACAATTGTGGACTCCCCAGCAGCTGTGGCTGCACTTCTAGAGGGATGATTCTGATCCCATGCAGCTCTCAGTCTCAGCTGCGTTCTGCTGTGCTTTTTCCAGGCTCTGCTCTCCCTTAGAGGAGACTAAACCCCAACCACTGAGGCACTAATTGTTTCTGCAGAAAGCACCAGCCAGAAAAGGCAAGAGAAATTCTGACCCACCTGAAGAAGTGGAGGTGGTGGGGTAGTCTGTAGTTATGCTTGCAGCATCTGTAGGGGAGGAAAGGAAAGGAGGTGAGGCCTGTTGGATGAAGATCCATGCCTGCCTTTCTCCCAGTGCTGGGCACGTTGCTGCCAGCTTGGCACACGGGCCATGGAGAGCCTGGGGATGTCACCAGAATGGTCTCTCATGGTGGGAGCAACCAAAAACATGACCCTGCCCTCACCCCAACAAACCATCTAATTCCAGCTATCTAAGACCACCCTCTGAAAAATTCATAGCATGCAGGCAGTCAGACCAGTGGTACCTGAGCACACAACACCAGCATCTTCACTGTGGCCGCAATTGTGGACGCCCCAACCACGGTGACTGCACTGGAAGATGGATGACTCCCAGCCTGCACAGTTCACATCGTCCAGGTAGATGCTGCCACTGCCTTGTCCAAAGGAGGCCCCTGATGTTGCAGAAACAGCAGAGCCACATCCCAGCTGCCTGCACACCACCTGGGCATCGCTCAGGTCCCAGTCATCGTCACAGACAGTGCCCCGGCCCCCAGAGTGGGAAATCTCCACGCGACCCTCGCAGCGGCTCCCGCCGTTCACCAGGCTGATGGTGGCACCTGGGAGAGAAAGAGGTGTGGAAACCTTGGCAAGAGATTTCAGCACAAGGGCATGTTCTCTTGCCACAGAGAAATCACTCCATGAATTTCAGGCCACCACAACTCCCAATCTCGGCTGTATTAAACTGCTTTTCCTGGTTTCTCCTCTCCTATGGAGAAAACCAGACACCAAACTCTGAGGCACTAATTGTTTCTGCAAAAAGCAATGTCCAGAAAACCCTGGGGAAATTCAGACCCACCTGAAGGAACGGAGTTGATGGGCCTAAATGTAGTTGTTCTTGGGGCACCTGTAGGGGAGGAAAGGAAAGAAGGATGCGAGGCCTGTTGGATGGAGATCCATGTTCGCCTTTCTCCCAGTGCTGGGCACGTTGCTGCCGGCGTGGCACACGGGCAGTGGAGAGGCTGGAGGTGTCAGCAGAATGGTCCCCATGGTGGGATCCACAAAAACACAATTGCACACCCATCCCCAGCCAAGAGGGGACACTGCCTGAAAGAGTCCCAGCGTGCAGGCAGCCATAGCAGTGGTACCTGAGCACACATCAGCATCTTCACTGTGGCCGCAATTGTGGACTCCCCAGCAGCTGTGGCTGCACTTCTAGAGGGATGATTCTGATCCCATGCAGCTCTCAGTCTCAGCTGCGTTCTGCTGTGCTTTTTCCAGGCTCTGCTCTCCCTTAGAGGAGACTAAACCCCGACCACTGAGGCACTAATTGTTTCTGCAGAAAGCACCAGCCAGAAAAGGCAAGAGAAATTCTGACCCACCTGAAGAAGTGGAGGTGGTGGGGTAGTCTGTAGTTATGCTTGCAGCATCTGTAGGGGAGGAAAGGAAAGGAGGTGAGGCCTGTTGGATGAAGATCCATGCCTGCCTTTCTCCCAGTGCTGGGCACGTTGCTGCCAGCTTGGCACAGGGGCCATGGAGAGCCTGGGGATGTCACCAGAATGGTCTCTCATGGTGGGAGCAACCAAAAATGTGACCCTGCCCTCACCCCAACAAACCATCTAATTCCAGCTAACTAAGACCACCCTCTGAAAAATTCATAGCATGCAGGCAGTCAGACCAGTGGTACCTGAGCACACAACACCAGCATCTTCACTGTGGCCGCAATTGTGGACGCCCCAACCACGGTGACTGCACTGGAAGATGGATGACTCCCAGCCTGCACAGTTCACATCGTCCAGGTAGATGCTGCCACTGCCTTGTCCAAAGGAGGCCCCTGATGTTGCAGAAACAGCAGAGCCACATCCCAGCTGCCTGCACACCACCTGGGCATCGCTCAGGTCCCAGTCATCGTCACAGACAGTGCCCCGGCCCCCAGAGTGGGAAATCTCCACGCGACCCTCGCAGCGGCTCCCGCCGTTCACCAGGCTGATGGTGGCATCTGGGAGAGAAGGAGGTGTGGAAAACTTGGGAAGAGATTTTAGCACAAAGGTATTTTCTCTTGCCACAGAGAAATCACTCCATGAATTTCAGGCCACCACAACTCCCAATCTCGGCTGTATTAAACTGCTTTTCCTGGTTTCTCCTCTCCTATGGAGAAAACCAGACACCAAACTCTGAGGCACTAATTGTTTCTGCAAAAAGCAATGTCCAGAAAACCCAGGAGAAATTCAGACCCACCTGAAGGAACGGAGGTGATGGGGCTGAATGTAGTTGTTCTTGGGGCACCTGTAGGGGAGGAAAGGAAAGAAGGATGCGAGGCCTGTTGGATGGAGATCCATGTTCGCCTTTCTCCCAGTGCTGGGCACGTTGCTGCCGGCGTGGCACACGGGCAGTGGAGAGGCTGGAGGTGTCAGCAGAATGGTCCCCATGGTGCGATCCACAAAAACACAATTGCACACCCATCCCCAGCCAAGAGGGGACACTGCCTGAAAGAGTCCCAGCGTGCAGGCAGCCATAGCAGTGGTACCTGAGCACACATCAGCATCTTCACTGTGGCCGCAATTGTGGACTCCCCAGCAGCTGTGGCTGCACTTCTAGAGGGATGATTCTGATCCCATGCAGCTCTCAGTCTCAGCTGCGTTCTGCTGTGCTTTTTCCAGGCTCTGCTCTCCCTTAGAGGAGACTAAACCCCAACCACTGAGGCACTAATTGTTTCTGCAGAAAGCACCAGCCAGAAAAGGCAAGAGAAATTCTGACCCACCTGAAGAAGTGGAGGTGGTGGGGTAGTCTGTAGTTATGCTTGCAGCATCTGTAGGGGAGGAAAGGAAAGGAGGTGAGGCCTGTTGGATGAAGATCCATGCCTGCCTTTCTCCCAGTGCTGGGCACGTTGCTGCCAGCTTGGCACACGGGCCATGGAGAGCCTGGGGATGTCACCAGAATGGTCTCTCATGGTGGGAGCAACCAAAAACATGACCCTGCCCTCACCCCAACAAACCATCTAATTCCAGCTATCTAAGACCACCCTCTGAAAAATTCATAGTATGCAGGCAGTCAGACCAGTGGTACCTGAGCACACAACACCAGCATCTTCACTGTGGCCGCAATTGTGGACGCCCCAACCACGGTGACTGCACTGGAAGATGGATGACTCCCAGCCTGCACAGTTCACATCGTCCAGGTAGATGCTGCCACTGCCTTGTCCAAAGGAGGCCCCTGATGTTGCAGAAACAGCATCTCCACATCCCAGCTGCCTGCACACCACCTGGGCATCACTCAGGTCCCAGTCATCGTCACAGACAGTGCCCCGGCCCCCAGAGTGGGAAATCTCCACGCGACCCTCGCAGCGGCTCCCGCCGTTCACCAGGCTGATGGTGGCACCTGGGAGAGAAAGAGGTGTGGAAACCTTGGCAAGAGATTTCAGCACAAGGGCATGTTCTCTTGCCACAGAGAAATCACTCCATGAATTTCAGGCCACCACAACTCCCAATCTCGGCTGTATTAAACTGCTTTTCCTGGTTTCTCCTCTCCTATGGAGAAAACCAGACACCAAACTCTGAGGCACTAATTGTTTCTGCAAAAAGCAATGTCCAGAAAACCCTGGGGAAATTCAGACCCACCTGAAGGAACGGAGTTGATGGGCCTAAATGTAGTTGTTCTTGGGGCACCTGTAGGGGAGGAAAGGAAAGAAGGATGCGAGGCCTGTTGGATGGAGATCCATGTTCGCCTTTCTCCCAGTGCTGGGCACGTTGCTGCCGGCGTGGCACACGGGCAGTGGAGAGGCTGGAGGTGTCAGCAGAATGGTCCCCATGGTGGGATCCACAAAAACACAATTGCACACCCATCCCCAGCCAAGAGGGGACACTGCCTGAAAGAGTCCCAGCGTGCAGGCAGCCATAGCAGTGGTACCTGAGCACACATCAGCATCTTCACTGTGGCCACAATTGTGGACTCCCCAGCAGCTGTGGCTGCACTTCTAGAGGGATGATTCTGATCCCATGCAGCTCTCAGTCTCAGCTGCGTTCTGCTGTGCTTTTTCCAGGCTCTGCTCTCCCTTAGAGGAGACTAAATCCCAACCACTGAGGCACTAATTGTTTCTGCAGAAAGCACCAGCCAGAAAAGGCAAGAGAAATTCTGACCCACCTGAAGAAGTGGAGGTGGTGGGGTAGTCTGTAGTTATGCTTGCAGCATCTGTAGGGGAGGAAAGGAAAGGAGGTGAGGCCTGTTGGATGAAGATCCATGCCTGCCTTTCTCCCAGTGCTGGGCACGTTGCTGCCAGCTTGGCACACGGGCCATGGAGAGCCTGGGGATGTCACCAGAATGGTCTCTCATGGTGGGAGCAACCAAAAACATGACCCTGCCCTCACCCCAACAAACCATCTAATTCCAGCTAACTAAGACCACCCTCTGAAAAATTCATAGCATGCAGGCAGTCAGACCAGTGGTACCTGAGCACACAACACCAGCATCTTCACTGTGGCCGCAATTGTGGACGCCCCAACCACGGTGACTGCACTGGAAGATGGATGACTCCCAGCCTGCACAGTTCACATCGTCCAGGTAGATGCTGCCACTGCCTTGTCCAAAGGAGGCCCCTGATGTTGCAGAAACAGCAGAGCCACATCCCAGCTGCCTGCACACCACCTGGGCATCGCTCAGGTCCCAGCCATCGTCACAGACAGTGCCCCGGCCCCCAGAGTGGGAAATCTCCACGCGACCCTCGCAGCGGCTCCCGCCGTTCACCAGGCTGATGGTGGCACCTGGGAGAGAAAGAGGTGTGGAAACCTTGGCAAGAGATTTCAGCACAAAGGCATGTTCTCTTGCCACAGAGAAATCACTCCATGAATTTCAGGCCACCACAACTCCCAATCTCGGCTGTATTAAACTGCTTTTCCTGGTTTCTCCTCTCCTATGGAGAAAACCAGACACCAAACTCTGAGGCACTAATTGTTTCTGCAAAAAGCAATGTCCAGAAAATCCAGGAGAAATTCAGACCCACCTGAAGGAACGGAGGTGATGGGCCTGAATGTAGTTGTTCTTGGGGCACCTGTAGGGGAGGAAAGGAAAGAAGGATGCGAGGCCTGTTGGATGGAGATCCATGTTCGCCTTTCTCCCAGTGCTGGGCACGTTGCTGCCGGCGTGGCACACGGGCAGTGGAGAGGCTGGAGGTGTCAGCAGAATGGTCCCCATGGTGGGATCCACAAAAACACAATTGCACACCCATCCCCAGCCAAGAGGGGACACTGCCTGAAAGAGTCCCAGCGTGCAGGCAGCCATAGCAGTGGTACCTGAGCACACATCAGCATCTTCACTGTGGCCGCAATTGTGGACTCCCCAGCAGCTGTGGCTGCACTTCTAGAGGGATGATTCTGATCCCATGCAGCTCTCAGTCTCAGCTGCGTTCTGCTGTGCTTTTTCCAGGCTCTGCTCTCCCTTAGAGGAGACTAAACCCCGACCACTGAGGCACTAATTGTTTCTGCAGAAAGCACCAGCCAGAAAAGGCAAGAGAAATTCTGACCCACCTGAAGAAGTGGAGGTGGTGGGGTAGTCTGTAGTTATGCTTGCAGCATCTGTAGGGGAGGAAAGGAAAGGAGGTGAGGCCTGTTGGATGAAGATCCATGCCTGCCTTTCTCCCAGTGCTGGGCACGTTGCTGCCAGCTTGGCACAGGGGCCATGGAGAGCCTGGGGATGTCACCAGAATGGTCTCTCATGGTGGGAGCAACCAAAAACGTGACCCTGCCCTCACCCCAACAAACCATCTAATTCCAGCTAACTAAGACCACCCTCTGAAAAATTCATAGCATGCAGGCAGTCAGACCAGTGGTACCTGAGCACACAACACCAGCATCTTCACTGTGGCCGCAATTGTGGACGCCCCAACCACGGTGACTGCACTGGAAGATGGATGACTCCCAGCCTGCACAGTTCACATCGTCCAGGTAGATGCTGCCACTGCCTTGTCCAAAGGAGGCCCCTGATGTTGCAGAAACAGCAGAGCCACATCCCAGCTGCCTGCACACCACCTGGGCATCGCTCAGGTCCCAGCCATCGTCACAGACAGTGCCCCGGCCCCCAGAGTGGGAAATCTCCACGCGACCCTCGCAGCGGCTCCCGCCGTTCACCAGGCTGATGGTGGCACCTGGGAGAGAAAGAGGTGTGGAAACCTTGGCAAGAGATTTCAGCACAAAGGCATGTTCTCTTGCCACAGAGAAATCACTCCATGAATTTCAGGCCACCACAACTCCCAATCTCGGCTGTATTAAACTGCTTTTCCTGGTTTCTCCTCTCCTATGGAGAAAACCAGACACCAAACTCTGAGGCACTAATTGTTTCTGCAAAAAGCAATGTCCAGAAAACCCAGGAGAAATTCAGACCCACCTGAAGGAACGGAGGTGATGGGGCTGAATGTAGTTGTTCTTGGGGCACCTGTAGGGGAGGAAAGGAAAGAAGGATGCGAGGCCTGTTGGATGGAGATCCATGTTCGCCTTTCTCCCAGTGCTGGGCACGTTGCTGCCGGCGTGGCACACGGGCAGTGGAGAGGCTGGAGGTGTCAGCAGAATGGTCCCCATGGTGGGATCCACAAAAACACAATTGCACACCCATCCCCAGCCAAGAGGGGACACTGCCTGAAAGAGTCCCAGCGTGCAGGCAGCCATAGCAGTGGTACCTGAGCACACATCAGCATCTTCACTGTGGCCACAATTGTGGACTCCCCAGCAGCTGTGGCTGCACTTCTAGAGGGATGATTCTGATCCCATGCAGCTCTCAGTCTCAGCTGCGTTCTGCTGTGCTTTTTCCAGGCTCTGCTCTCCCTTAGAGGAGACTAAACCCCAACCACTGAGGCACTAATTGTTTCTGCAGAAAGCACCAGCCAGAAAAGGCAAGAGAAATTCTGACCCACCTGAAGAAGTGGAGGTGGTGGGGTAGTCTGTAGTTATGCTTGCAGCATCTGTAGGGGAGGAAAGGAAAGGAGGTGAGGCCTGTTGGATGAAGATCCATGCCTGCCTTTCTCCCAGTGCTGGGCACGTTGCTGCCAGCTTGGCACAGGGGCCATGGAGAGCCTGGGGATGTCACCAGAATGGTCTCTCATGGTGGGAGCAACCAAAAACGTGACCCTGCCCTCACCCCAACAAACCATCTAATTCCAGCTAACTAAGACCAATCTCTGAAAAATTCATAGTATGCAGGCAGTCAGACCAGTGGTACCTGAGCACACAACACCAGCATCTTCACTGTGGCCGCAATTGTGGACGCCCCAACCACGGTGACTGCACTGGAAGATGGATGACTCCCAGCCTGCACAGTTCACATCGTCCAGGTAGATGCTGCCACTGCCTTGTCCAAAGGAGGCCCCTGATGTTGCAGAAACAGCAGAGCCACATCCCAGCTGCCTGCACACCACCTGGGCATCGCTCAGGTCCCAGCCATCGTCACAGACAGTGCCCCGGCCCCCAGAGTGGGAAATCTCCACGCGACCCTCGCAGCGGCTCCCGCCGTTCACCAGGCTGATGGTGGCACCTGGGAGAGAAAGAGGTGTGGAAACCTTGGCAAGAGATTTCAGCACAAAGGCATGTTCTCTTGCCACAGAGAAATCACTCCATGAATTTCAGGCCACCACAACTCCCAATCTCGGCTGTATTAAACTGCTTTTCCTGGTTTCTCCTCTCCTATGGAGAAAACCAGACACCAAACTCTGAGGCACTAATTGTTTCTGCAAAAAGCAATGTCCAGAAAACCCAGGAGAAATTCAGACCCACCTGAAGGAACGGAGGTGATGGGGCTGAATGTAGTTGTTCTTGGGGCACCTGTAGGGGAGGAAAGGAAAGAAGGATGCGAGGCCTGTTGGATGGAGATCCATGTTCGCCTTTCTCCCAGTGCTGGGCACGTTGCTGCCGGCGTGGCACACGGGCAGTGGAGAGGCTGGAGGTGTCAGCAGAATGGTCCCCATGGTGGGATCCACAAAAACACAATTGCACACCCATCCCCAGCCAAGAGGGGACACTGCCTGAAAGAGTCCCAGCGTGCAGGCAGCCATAGCAGTGGTACCTGAGCACACATCAGCATCTTCACTGTGGCCACAATTGTGGACTCCCCAGCAGCTGTGGCTGCACTTCTAGAGGGATGATTCTGATCCCATGCAGCTCTCAGTCTCAGCTGCGTTCTGCTGTGCTTTTTCCAGGCTCTGCTCTCCCTTAGAGGAGACTAAACCCCAACCACTGAGGCACTAATTGTTTCTGCAGAAAGCACCAGCCAGAAAAGGCAAGAGAAATTCTGACCCACCTGAAGAAGTGGAGGTGGTGGGGTAGTCTGTAGTTATGCTTGCAGCATCTGTAGGGGAGGAAAGGAAAGGAGGTGAGGCCTGTTGGATGAAGATCCATGCCTGCCTTTCTCCCAGTGCTGGGCACGTTGCTGCCAGCTTGGCACACGGGCCATGGAGAGCCTGGGGATGTCACCAGAATGGTCTCTCATGGTGGGAGCAACCAAAAACATGACCCTGCCCTCACCCCAACAAACCATCTAATTCCAGCTATCTAAGACCACCCTCTGAAAAATTCATAGTATGCAGGCAGTCAGACCAGTGGTACCTGAGCACACAACACCAGCATCTTCACTGTGGCCGCAATTGTGGACGCCCCAACCACGGTGACTGCACTGGAAGATGGATGACTCCCAGCCTGCACAGTTCACATCGTCCAGGTAGATGCTGCCACTGCCTTGTCCAAAGGAGGCCCCTGATGTTGCAGAAACAGCAGAGCCACATCCCAGCTGCCTGCACACCACCTGGGCATCGCTCAGGTCCCAGTCATCGTCACAGACAGTGCCCCGGCCCCCAGAGTGGGAAATCTCCACGCGACCCTCGCAGCGGCTCCCGCCGTTCACCAGGCTGATGGTGGCACCTGGGAGAGAAAGAGGTGTGGAAACCTTGGCAAGAGATTTCAGCACAAGGGCATGTTCTCTTGCCACAGAGAAATCACTCCATGAATTTCAGGCCACCACAACTCCCAATCTCGGCTGTATTAAACTGCTTTTCCTGGTTTCTCCTCTCCTATGGAGAAAACCAGACACCAAACTCTGAGGCACTAATTGTTTCTGCAAAAAGCAATGTCCAGAAAACCCTGGGGAAATTCAGACCCACCTGAAGGAACGGAGTTGATGGGCCTAAATGTAGTTGTTCTTGGGGCACCTGTAGGGGAGGAAAGGAAAGAAGGATGCGAGGCCTGTTGGATGGAGATCCATGTTCGCCTTTCTCCCAGTGCTGGGCACGTTGCTGCCGGCGTGGCACACGGGCAGTGGAGAGGCTGGAGGTGTCAGCAGAATGGTCCCCATGGTGGGATCCACAAAAACACAATTGCACACCCATCCCCAGCCAAGAGGGGACACTGCCTGAAAGAGTCCCAGCGTGCAGGCAGCCATAGCAGTGGTACCTGAGCACACATCAGCATCTTCACTGTGGCCACAATTGTGGACTCCCCAGCAGCTGTGGCTGCACTTCTAGAGGGATGATTCTGATCCCATGCAGCTCTCAGTCTCAGCTGCGTTCTGCTGTGCTTTTTCCAGGCTCTGCTCTCCCTTAGAGGAGACTAAACCCCAACCACTGAGGCACTAATTGTTTCTGCAGAAAGCACCAGCCAGAAAAGGCAAGAGAAATTCTGACCCACCTGAAGAAGTGGAGGTGGTGGGGTAGTCTGTAGTTATGCTTGCAGCATCTGTAGGGGAGGAAAGGAAAGGAGGTGAGGCCTGTTGGATGAAGATCCATGCCTGCCTTTCTCCCAGTGCTGGGCACGTTGCTGCCAGCTTGGCACACGGGCCATGGAGAGCCTGGGGATGTCACCAGAATGGTCTCTCATGGTGGGAGCAACCAAAAACGTGACCCTGCCCTCACCCCAACAAACCATCTAATTCCAGCTAACTAAGACCACCCTCTGAAAAATTCATAGCATGCAGGCAGTCAGACCAGTGGTACCTGAGCACACAACACCAGCATCTTCACTGTGGCCGCAATTGTGGACGCCCCAACCACGGTGACTGCACTGGAAGATGGATGACTCCCAGCCTGCACAGTTCACATCGTCCAGGTAGATGCTGCCACTGCCTTGTCCAAAGGAGGCCCCTGATGTTGCAGAAACAGCAGAGCCACATCCCAGCTGCCTGCACACCACCTGGGCATCGCTCAGGTCCCAGCCATCGTCACAGACAGTGCCCCGGCCCCCAGAGTGGGAAATCTCCACGCGACCCTCGCAGCGGCTCCCGCCGTTCACCAGGCTGATGGTGGCATCTGGGAGAGAAGGAGGTGTGGAAAACTTGGGAAGAGATTTTAGCACAAAGGTATTTTCTCTTGCCACAGAGAAATCACTCCATGAATTTCAGGCCACCACAACTCCCAATCTCGGCTGTATTAAACTGCTTTTCCTGGTTTCTCCTCTCCTATGGAGAAAACCAGACACCAAACTCTGAGGCACTAATTGTTTCTGCAAAAAGCAATGTCCAGAAAACCCAGGAGAAATTCAGACCCACCTGAAGGAACGGAGGTGATGGGGCTGAATGTAGTTGTTCTTGGGGCACCTGTAGGGGAGGAAAGGAAAGAAGGATGCGAGGCCTGTTGGATGGAGATCCATGTTCGCCTTTCTCCCAGTGCTGGGCACGTTGCTGCCGGCGTGGCACACGGGCAGTGGAGAGGCTGGAGGTGTCAGCAGAATGGTCCCCATGGTGGGATCCACAAAAACACAATTGCACACCCATCCCCAGCCAAGAGGGGACACTGCCTGAAAGAGTCCCAGCATGCAGGCAGCCATAGCAGTGGTACCTGAGCACACATCAGCATCTTCACTGTGGCCACAGTTGTGGACTCCCCAGCAGCTGTGGCTGCACTTCTAGAGGGATGATTCTGATCCCATGCAGCTCTCAGTCTCAGCTGCATTCTGCTGTGCTTTTTCCAGGCTCTGCTCTCCCTTAGAGGAGACTAAACCCCAACCACTGAGGCACTAATTGTTTCTGCAGAAAGCACCAGCCAGAAAAGGCAAGAGAAATTCTGACCCACCTGAAGAAGTGGAGGTGGTGGGGTAGTCTGTAGTTATGCTTGCAGCATCTGTAGGGGAGGAAAGGAAAGGAGGTGAGGCCTGTTGGATGAAGATCCATGCCTGCCTTTCTCCCAGTGCTGGGCACGTTGCTGCCAGCTTGGCACAGGGGCCATGGAGAGCCTGGGGATGTCACCAGAATGGTCTCTCATGGTGGGAGCAACCAAAAACGTGACCCTGCCCTCACCCCAACAAACCATCTAATTCCAGCTAACTAAGACCACCCTCTGAAAAATTCATAGCATGCAGGCAGTCAGACCAGTGGTACCTGAGCACACAACACCAGCATCTTCACTGTGGCCGCAATTGTGGACGCCCCAACCACGGTGACTGCACTGGAAGATGGATGACTCCCAGCCTGCACAGTTCACATCGTCCAGGTAGATGCTGCCACTGCCTTGTCCAAAGGAGGCCCCTGATGTTGCAGAAACAGCAGAGCCACATCCCAGCTGCCTGCACACCACCTGGGCATCGCTCAGGTCCCAGCCATCGTCACAGACAGTGCCCCGGCCCCCAGAGTGGGAAATCTCCACGCGACCCTCGCAGCGGCTCCCGCCGTTCACCAGGCTGATGGTGGCATCTGGGAGAGAAAGAGGTGTGGAAACCTTGGCAAGAGATTTCAGCACAAAGGCATGTTCTCTTGCCACAGAGAAATCACTCCATGAATTTCAGGCCACCACAACTCCCAATCTCGGCTGTATTAAACTGCTTTTCCTGGTTTCTCCTCTCCTATGGAGAAAACCAGACACCAAACTCTGAGGCACTAATTGTTTCTGCAAAAAGCAATGTCCAGAAAACCCAGGAGAAATTCAGACCCACCTGAAGGAACGGAGGTGATGGGGCTGAATGTAGTTGTTCTTGGGGCACCTGTAGGGGAGGAAAGGAAAGAAGGATGCGAGGCCTGTTGGATGGAGATCCATGTTCGCCTTTCTCCCAGTGCTGGGCACGTTGCTGCCGGCGTGGCACACGGGCAGTGGAGAGGCTGGAGGTGTCAGCAGAATGGTCCCCATGGTGGGATCCACAAAAACACAATTGCACACCCATCCCCAGCCAAGAGGGGACACTGCCTGAAAGAGTCCCAGCGTGCAGGCAGCCATAGCAGTGGTACCTGAGCACACATCAGCATCTTCACTGTGGCCACAATTGTGGACTCCCCAGCAGCTGTGGCTGCACTTCTAGAGGGATGATTCTGATCCCATGCAGCTCTCAGTCTCAGCTGCGTTCTGCTGTGCTTTTTCCAGGCTCTGCTCTCCCTTAGAGGAGACTAAACCCCAACCACTGAGGCACTAATTGTTTCTGCAGAAAGCACCAGCCAGAAAAGGCAAGAGAAATTCTGACCCACCTGAAGAAGTGGAGGTGGTGGGGTAGTCTGTAGTTATGCTTGCAGCATCTGTAGGGGAGGAAAGGAAAGGAGGTGAGGCCTGTTGGATGAAGATCCATGCCTGCCTTTCTCCCAGTGCTGGGCACGTTGCTGCCAGCTTGGCACACGGGCCATGGAGAGCCTGGGGATGTCACCAGAATGGTCTCTCATGGTGGGAGCAACCAAAAACATGACCCTGCCCTCACCCCAACAAACCATCTAATTCCAGCTATCTAAGACCACCCTCTGAAAAATTCATAGTATGCAGGCAGTCAGACCAGTGGTACCTGAGCACACAACACCAGCATCTTCACTGTGGCCGCAATTGTGGACGCCCCAACCACGGTGACTGCACTGGAAGATGGATGACTCCCAGCCTGCACAGTTCACATCGTCCAGGTAGATGCTGCCACTGCCTTGTCCAAAGGAGGCCCCTGATGTTGCAGAAACAGCAGAGCCACATCCCAGCTGCCTGCACACCACCTGGGCATCGCTCAGGTCCCAGTCATCGTCACAGACAGTGCCCCGGCCCCCAGAGTGGGAAATCTCCACGCGACCCTCGCAGCGGCTCCCGCCGTTCACCAGGCTGATGGTGGCACCTGGGAGAGAAAGAGGTGTGGAAACCTTGGCAAGAGATTTCAGCACAAGGGCATGTTCTCTTGCCACAGAGAAATCACTCCATGAATTTCAGGCCACCACAACTCCCAATCTCGGCTGTATTAAACTGCTTTTCCTGGTTTCTCCTCTCCTATGGAGAAAACCAGACACCAAACTCTGAGGCACTAATTGTTTCTGCAAAAAGCAATGTCCAGAAAACCCTGGGGAAATTCAGACCCACCTGAAGGAACGGAGTTGATGGGCCTAAATGTAGTTGTTCTTGGGGCACCTGTAGGGGAGGAAAGGAAAGAAGGATGCGAGGCCTGTTGGATGGAGATCCATGTTCGCCTTTCTCCCAGTGCTGGGCACGTTGCTGCCGGCGTGGCACACGGGCAGTGGAGAGGCTGGAGGTGTCAGCAGAATGGTCCCCATGGTGGGATCCACAAAAACACAATTGCACACCCATCCCCAGCCAAGAGGGGACACTGCCTGAAAGAGTCCCAGCGTGCAGGCAGCCATAGCAGTGGTACCTGAGCACACATCAGCATCTTCACTGTGGCCACAATTGTGGACTCCCCAGCAGCTGTGGCTGCACTTCTAGAGGGATGATTCTGATCCCATGCAGCTCTCAGTCTCAGCTGCGTTCTGCTGTGCTTTTTCCAGGCTCTGCTCTCCCTTAGAGGAGACTAAACCCCAACCACTGAGGCACTAATTGTTTCTGCAGAAAGCACCAGCCAGAAAAGGCAAGAGAAATTCTGACCCACCTGAAGAAGTGGAGGTGGTGGGGTAGTCTGTAGTTATGCTTGCAGCATCTGTAGGGGAGGAAAGGAAAGGAGGTGAGGCCTGTTGGATGAAGATCCATGCCTGCCTTTCTCCCAGTGCTGGGCACGTTGCTGCCAGCTTGGCACACGGGCCATGGAGAGCCTGGGGATGTCACCAGAATGGTCTCTCATGGTGGGAGCAACCAAAAACGTGACCCTGCCCTCACCCCAACAAACCATCTAATTCCAGCTAACTAAGACCACCCTCTGAAAAATTCATAGCATGCAGGCAGTCAGACCAGTGGTACCTGAGCACACAACACCAGCATCTTCACTGTGGCCGCAATTGTGGACGCCCCAACCACGGTGACTGCACTGGAAGATGGATGACTCCCAGCCTGCACAGTTCACATCGTCCAGGTAGATGCTGCCACTGCCTTGTCCAAAGGAGGCCCCTGATGTTGCAGAAACAGCAGAGCCACATCCCAGCTGCCTGCACACCACCTGGGCATCGCTCAGGTCCCAGCCATCGTCACAGACAGTGCCCCGGCCCCCAGAGTGGGAAATCTCCACGCGACCCTCGCAGCGGCTCCCGCCGTTCACCAGGCTGATGGTGGCATCTGGGAGAGAAGGAGGTGTGGAAAACTTGGGAAGAGATTTTAGCACAAAGGTATTTTCTCTTGCCACAGAGAAATCACTCCATGAATTTCAGGCCACCACAACTCCCAATCTCGGCTGTATTAAACTGCTTTTCCTGGTTTCTCCTCTCCTATGGAGAAAACCAGACACCAAACTCTGAGGCACTAATTGTTTCTGCAAAAAGCAATGTCCAGAAAACCCAGGAGAAATTCAGACCCACCTGAAGGAACGGAGGTGATGGGGCTGAATGTAGTTGTTCTTGGGGCACCTGTAGGGGAGGAAAGGAAAGAAGGATGCGAGGCCTGTTGGATGGAGATCCATGTTCGCCTTTCTCCCAGTGCTGGGCACGTTGCTGCCGGCGTGGCACACGGGCAGTGGAGAGGCTGGAGGTGTCAGCAGAATGGTCCCCATGGTGGGATCCACAAAAACACAATTGCACACCCATCCCCAGCCAAGAGGGGACACTGCCTGAAAGAGTCCCAGCATGCAGGCAGCCATAGCAGTGGTACCTGAGCACACATCAGCATCTTCACTGTGGCCACAGTTGTGGACTCCCCAGCAGCTGTGGCTGCACTTCTAGAGGGATGATTCTGATCCCATGCAGCTCTCAGTCTCAGCTGCATTCTGCTGTGCTTTTTCCAGGCTCTGCTCTCCCTTAGAGGAGACTAAACCCCAACCACTGAGGCACTAATTGTTTCTGCAGAAAGCACCAGCCAGAAAAGGCAAGAGAAATTCTGACCCACCTGAAGAAGTGGAGGTGGTGGGGTAGTCTGTAGTTATGCTTGCAGCATCTGTAGGGGAGGAAAGGAAAGGAGGTGAGGCCTGTTGGATGAAGATCCATGCCTGCCTTTCTCCCAGTGCTGGGCACGTTGCTGCCAGCTTGGCACAGGGGCCATGGAGAGCCTGGGGATGTCACCAGAATGGTCTCTCATGGTGGGAGCAACCAAAAACGTGACCCTGCCCTCACCCCAACAAACCATCTAATTCCAGCTAACTAAGACCACCCTCTGAAAAATTCATAGCATGCAGGCAGTCAGACCAGTGGTACCTGAGCACACAACACCAGCATCTTCACTGTGGCCGCAATTGTGGACGCCCCAACCACGGTGACTGCACTGGAAGATGGATGACTCCCAGCCTGCACAGTTCACATCGTCCAGGTAGATGCTGCCACTGCCTTGTCCAAAGGAGGCCCCTGATGTTGCAGAAACAGCAGAGCCACATCCCAGCTGCCTGCACACCACCTGGGCATCGCTCAGGTCCCAGCCATCGTCACAGACAGTGCCCCGGCCCCCAGAGTGGGAAATCTCCACGCGACCCTCGCAGCGGCTCCCGCCGTTCACCAGGCTGATGGTGGCATCTGGGAGAGAAAGAGGTGTGGAAACCTTGGCAAGAGATTTCAGCACAAAGGCATGTTCTCTTGCCACAGAGAAATCACTCCATGAATTTCAGGCCACCACAACTCCCAATCTCGGCTGTATTAAACTGCTTTTCCTGGTTTCTCCTCTCCTATGGAGAAAACCAGACACCAAACTCTGAGGCACTAATTGTTTCTGCAAAAAGCAATGTCCAGAAAACCCAGGAGAAATTCAGACCCACCTGAAGGAACGGAGGTGATGGGGCTGAATGTAGTTGTTCTTGGGGCACCTGTAGGGGAGGAAAGGAAAGAAGGATGCGAGGCCTGTTGGATGGAGATCCATGTTCGCCTTTCTCCCAGTGCTGGGCACGTTGCTGCCGGCGTGGCACACGGGCAGTGGAGAGGCTGGAGGTGTCAGCAGAATGGTCCCCATGGTGGGATCCACAAAAACACAATTGCACACCCATCCCCAGCCAAGAGGGGACACTGCCTGAAAGAGTCCCAGCGTGCAGGCAGCCATAGCAGTGGTACCTGAGCACACATCAGCATCTTCACTGTGGCCACAATTGTGGACTCCCCAGCAGCTGTGGCTGCACTTCTAGAGGGATGATTCTGATCCCATGCAGCTCTCAGTCTCAGCTGCGTTCTGCTGTGCTTTTTCCAGGCTCTGCTCTCCCTTAGAGGAGACTAAACCCCAACCACTGAGGCACTAATTGTTTCTGCAGAAAGCACCAGCCAGAAAAGGCAAGAGAAATTCTGACCCACCTGAAGAAGTGGAGGTGGTGGGGTAGTCTGTAGTTATGCTTGCAGCATCTGTAGGGGAGGAAAGGAAAGGAGGTGAGGCCTGTTGGATGAAGATCCATGCCTGCCTTTCTCCCAGTGCTGGGCACGTTGCTGCCAGCTTGGCACACGGGCCATGGAGAGCCTGGGGATGTCACCAGAATGGTCTCTCATGGTGGGAGCAACCAAAAACGTGACCCTGCCCTCACCCCAACAAACCATCTAATTCCAGCTAACTAAGACCACCCTCTGAAAAATTCATAGTATGCAGGCAGTCAGACCAGTGGTACCTGAGCACACAACACCAGCATCTTCACTGTGGCCGCAATTGTGGACGCCCCAACCACGGTGACTGCACTGGAAGATGGATGACTCCCAGCCTGCACAGTTCACATCGTCCAGGTAGATGCTGCCACTGCCTTGTCCAAAGGAGGCCCCTGATGTTGCAGAAACAGCAGAGCCACATCCCAGCTGCCTGCACACCACCTGGGCATCGCTCAGGTCCCAGCCATCGTCACAGACAGTGCCCCGGCCCCCAGAGTGGGAAATCTCCACGCGACCCTCGCAGCGGCTCCCGCCGTTCACCAGGCTGATAGTGGCACCTGGGAGAGAAGGAGATGTGGAAAACTTGGGAAGAGGTTTTGGCACAAAGGAATTTTCTCTTGCCACAGAGAAATCACTCCATGAATTTCAGACCACCACAACTCCCAATCTCGCGTGTGTTAAACTATGGTTTTCTCCCCTTTCAGGTTGAAGACTAAACACAAACCTCTGCCCCACGAACTATTCAGTCAATAGAAGTCACCAGAATTATGTGGAGAACAATAATATGAAGGAGTGTCTAACTTAAATTGCGTGGATCTTTGACTGTTACATCTCTAGGGAAGAAAGAAGAAGTAGCAAGCGAGCTCCTGGTGGATGAAGGATCATGGCCAGGTTACTCCCACACTGGGGTTGTTGGTGCCACCGTGGAACACGAGAGATTGAGAGCTTTAGGGTGTCAGCACAGTGGCCTTTCATTGTGGGATCAACCAGAAACATAATCCTACACTCATTCGCAACACACATCAAATTCCAGCCAACAAAAATCAAAAGCAGGTACCTCTCCTTGTCGGGCCCTGGCCAATGCTCTATGAATTTGAAGCTGCTACAACTCTCAGTCTCAATTGCATTCTGCTGTGGTTTTCCAAGGCTCTGTTCTGCCTTGGAGAAGACTAAATTCTAAACTCTGAGGCACTAATTGTTTCTGCAGGAAGCACCAGCCAGAAAACCCAGGAGAAACTCAGACTCACCTGAAGGAGCAGAGGCGGTCAGGCTGGCTGCCGCACTGGTGGCATCTGCAGGGGAGGAAAGGAAAGAAGCAATTAGGTCTCTGTTGGATGAAGTAGGATGGCCAGGTTTCTCCCAGTGCTGGGCATGGTGCTGCCACCCCGTCACATGGGAGATGGAGAGCTTAGGGTTGTCAGCAGGGTGGTTTTTCATCGTGGGATCAACCAGAAATATAACCATGATCCCATTGCCAAATTCCAGCCAGCAAGGGCACAAGCAGGCACCTTCCCTTGTTGGCCATATGCAAGTTTCAGGCCACCAGGAGTGCCACCCTTGGCTTCAGTTATCATGTGCTTTTCCTGGGCTCTACTGTCCCATGGAGGTCACCAAACCCCAAACTCTGCAGGAATTACTGCTTCCTGAAAAGCACTGGCCAGAAATTTCAGAGATTCAGACTCACCTGAAGGAATAGAGGGCATTGACATGGACGTATCAGTGCCTGTGGCATATGGAGAGATGGGAGATGAAGCAGGTGAGTCCCTGGTGGGTGAAGAACCATGATCAAGGGCCTTCCAGTGGTAGGGATTTTGGTCCAGCCCTGCCAAATTGGAGATGGAGAGCAATGTGTCAATCTCAAGGCTGATCTTTTGTGGAAGGAGTAAGGAAACCAAGAATTTTTGGACATATATTCAAAACACTTTTTTCCCTATAAAATGAGTCCTAATTTTTTGGTTGCCCTGAGATGTTGTGGATTTCCCTTCACTGGCAACCTTCCAGGTCCGACATGTCTCTGAGCATCTGTTTTAAACTGCCTCTGCTTCTTTTTGGAGGTTTAAGCCAGAGGATTATTAAAATTGCCTTGTAACTTGTAAATAAATAATTCTATAATTCTTTGACTGCATGAGTGCATTACTTTCAGATTCTTGTTGTACATGGCTGCTTTCAGAGACTTAATTTACAATACATCTGACAAACAAATTCGTATCAGGTATGTTTTTCTCTAGAGAGCTGCATCTTCTCAGATGCAGAGCGAAGATCTGGTCTCTGTGAAATAAGAGATAATTAGTAATGTCATATTCCACAACGGTGTGGTAGCCTCACAAAATTATCTTTTCAATTAATAAAAAGATGCAAATAGAGACAACTGAAGGGAAATCTCCCAACTAGCAAACCTGTTTTTTATACATGCATGCTTGGATTAATGTCTGGTCAGACTAAAGAGAATAATTTGGATTTTTGACTAATACTTTAAGTTTTTAGTTGCAATTCTTAATGTGTATTTGCTAGGAATGGACAGAAGTTGCTGGGACGTCAATAAACCAAGCATTAAAGTCTTACTGATAACATGATAAAGTGAAATGCTGAAAATTTACAGGAAGAGGTGCCTGGGCATGAGTAATACAGATTATGTTTGGAACTCCCTTAAAGATGTGCTTCTAATTTGAAATACCACAGTACTTTCAGTTGTTTGTATACACAGGTTTATCTGTAAAATTAAATGAGTAATAAAAATCCCCAAAACAAGAACAAAGAAAACTTGCATAAATGTATTCATGATTTTAATGCAAAAATAAATCAGTGACCTGCTTATTCAGAGCAAATGATCTGATACAGCATTATACAAGTGCTGTGTCTTTCTCAGGCCTCTTTTATCTGAGTAGCACACACAAAGTACTTGGTAATTCCCAGATATATAGAAAGTAGCTTTATGCAGTGAGATAGATATCAGACCCTTTTGGTTTCTCTGTTCTATGATTTCATTTTTTTAAATGTCTCTTATTTATTATTTAAATGTCTCGTATTCTAATTTCCTTGGATTAGTTTTCATTTGTTTCTCTTTTTATAATTCAAGTCTTTTGAAAAGCAGTGGGCAAAATTAGCATTGCACACTCTATCACCAATATTCCCATGGACATAATGAGGGTTTTTTTCTTATTTATAGCTACAAAAACAGTGAACAAAGAGGTGTCTGAGTCAGAAGAAATTCCTAGCAGGAACATAAGACTTCAGATATCTTCTGTGAAAGAGGAGTGAGTCATACCTTTTTTATTAATTTGTTGGGTTTTTGTTGTTTTAGCTTTTTTAAAACTGGTAGTGTTTAGAAAGTCCTTAGAAATACTAAATATTGGCTTCTGAGGAAACCAAACACTGTTTTGTACTTTTACACATGCAGGTTGGATTGTTTCAGTCCCCAGGTTTTTATTCCACCTGCCTGAAAGTCCCAAGTTAGTGAAATGCACACACCTGGGGCTTCCTGACACCCTACAGCACAGCAACTGTGTCTTTATGTTGCACTCCCATTAAATTATATAAAGCTAAATAAGTATTTCCCATTAAATTATATAAAGCTAAATAAGTTTTGAGTGGTTCCATGTGCATTTGCAAGGTGGAATTTGTAGTACTATAAAGCAAATATCCATTACAGCCAAAGAAACTACAATCCCTCATAATTCCATAATGGAAGCCATAGATTTATAAGAACAAGGTCTCTCAGTCTTTCTTGTCAGAATTCTTTTTAAATTTGATTCAAACTCAGCTGCAAGACACTACTGCAAAACAATTATGATTTCATCGTACTAAATTCACTTTAACAAAAACAATACTTAATTGTGGCATTGATGGTTTGTATTTTTAATAAGACAACCTGATGTTATCTAATTTCAATCTGTCTTCCAATCTTTCCAAAGGGTTGATTAAACTGGCCTCTGAGTGCCATGTATAGACCCAGAGTAGCAAAGTAAGACACCCTTTTGCCTACCTTTTTGGGAAGAATAATTTTTGGGTAGATTAGGTGAGCTGGCATCCAGGAGTGCTGCATTTATCAGGAATAACCACAGCAGGTCCCTGGTGGCACCCATCTTGTCAAGAGATCCCAGTAAAACTGAGCATTAGATTTTATACGCTGCTAAAAACTGAGGCTCCCAAGGTCAGCCTGGCCCATGCTGCGTCTGATTTATTATGCAATATTTTTTATGAATAACTGATCTTTGCAGAAGGATTACATAGGAGCGATAAAGTTTCCATTTCCTAGATAATTTGTGTTGCTAGGAAGAAAAGAAACTCTATGCCACCCCTTTATTATACATTATCTTCAACTGTATGTGCTGGCTCAGAGTTACCTTTGGAACCAGACTGGTGAATATATGTGCTTCTTTACCTCAACCATCCCAATTTTATTTATTTATTCTTAATAGGTAATTGCTTGATTATGCAGACTGTAAGGTATTGCAGAATGAAGCAGCAAATTCACAGTAGATTTTCTGATAAATTCTTCAGCAGAGAGTCCTGGTCTCAAAAATCATTATATTTTAGTTCTCCATTTGAAACTGTAGGTTTGTTTCCCTGCTGCTTGTACACAAAAAAACCCCACATCATAAATGGGATTAAGTCAGGAATAAAAAGTAAATTCATGCCATTTTTTGTAACATACCCTAAGTGGACCTCACCTGCAGGGCTCTGTTGAGCTTGCTCTGGTTTACCAGGGTCTTCCCTCAGTCTACAGCTTTGGTCCTCAGATGCATCTGCCAGCAGGACCCCCTTCAACCCCTTCAATCACAGAAAATAAGGATGAACTGAAATCAAAAGTCCTGTTGAGCTGGTTTCCTTGGTTGGTCTGTGTGAAGTCTTAATGGAGTTTATGATGACTTAGGGGAATGACAAGTCCTGTCTGCTGGGGTCATTTTATTGTATTTCTACTCTTTCTGCTCACCTGATGAGGAGAAATAGAGCTCAGCTAGAAACAGGACAGTTGTTGGTCTAATATTGTTTTCATTACACCCCATCCAGGCTGTATCTCTCTGTTTATTTTGGCTACCAAACCAGCTACAACCAAACTGCAGTAGTTGGACATAACTCAATATTCTTGCTGGTGTGTTCCAACCCTCCTTGTGTAGAAAGGCACAGCTTGGGTCTAGAACAAGGGGAATAAAGAGTGCTCTTCCTGCAAAGGGTCACAGTGCTCAAATTGAGGAAAGAAAGACAAAAGGCCAGAGTCCAGAAACAGAATCAGAAACTGTTAAAGCTGTTTCTGAGAAGAGCAAACAAACTGGAGGACAATGCTAAATACAACCGATTGTACTCACATGTTAATAAAGAAATGGAAGCCTGAGCATTGCTATTCACAGCTCTACTGCTCCTGACTGCCTGACAAGAGCAAAAACAATACCATGTGCTCAGTGGAGTCATCACACACTGTCATTGGGAGGGGCTCCTGAGGTCAATTCTGCTTTAAGATTCTTGAAAAATGAACCAGACTTGTCTCAGTGGTGCCTGGTGGCAGGTTGGGAAGCAATGGGCATAAACTGAACTACAATAAACTCAACATGAGGAAAGAGAATTCCACTGTGAGGCTGGACAAGCAGTAGAATAGGGTGCCCAGAAATTTTATAGATTCCTCAATATATTATTCAAGATATTCACACCAACTGGGCAGTCCTGAGCAGCTTGTTTTCTTTGACCCTGCTTTGAACAAGGGGATGGACTTGAGGGTATCCAGATTGTCCAACCATAGCTGCTATGAGACAATGTGAACAGAAAAATTATGGATGTTATCAAGGACTTTCAGCAACAGAGAAGGACTGAATGTTAAATTAATCCACAATAATTAAATCTGCTAGCAAGGTTCACGAACACATGAATGTCAGGCTACTTCCTGGATCTCACCAGTGCATTTCTGGCACTTCCAGTAACTGTTTTTTAACTTATATGAGGACCTATGCCTTAATAACAGGCACCTTTGATTTGTAGAGGATAAAATTCCAATGTAATCTACAAACCATGCCTCAAATTATTTGTCTTATCTATTGCACACATTGAGATTAGAGCAGCAGGAAGTTTTGTGAAAAACGAAGTATTATAAAAGTCCACAAAAAACGCAAGTTATTGAGACTGCATTCCTGGTAGCAGAACACATATGTGTGTGTGTGTATATATATATATATATCTACACACACACATATATATATATCACATCAGGAATAAATAAAACTTTTGCCTTGGCTCTTGGCCACTGATTAGTGAGATAAAATACATGGGATCAAATTTGTCTTACTGTGGTCAAAAGCCTTGAGACACAGGAAACTTTAAGGCATTTGTCTAAGAATATCAACCTCAATTAATGCATAACCTGTTTTTTCAGAGGTCAGTGGCTTGCTGGAGCAAGTGTTCAATATAATATATTGAACATAAAATATATTGAACATAATATATTGAACAATATAATATACTGTTATAGTTGGATTAAAACCCAAATATTTTTTATGCAATTTCAATCAAAATGAAGCAACTGTTGAATTTTTCAATCACAGTTGTCATTTTTAGTGGCTCAGAGCTGTTAAACGCTATAGAAAGCCCTGCTGTGTTCATTGATCAATCATTTTCTTTCAGTTTAACAGAGAATAAGAAGACTTACTTACAATAACACTCTGTACTGGTTTCCTGTCATATGCTTCTTGCAAGAGGGAACTTGAACAAAATCAGTCTCTGTATCTGCCTGGGAATGCTCTGCAGGACTTCAATTCCCATATCTGTCCCTTTTCATTTTGTGTTGCACCAGATGGGCCATACCCCACCAGGGAAGCACCCAGCACTCAGACTTTTTCTCTTAGTCTCCTTTGCTTTGTCCCCACAAAAGGAAAACTGTTCAGTTTTAAGCCTAAGAAAGAGGCAAAAATAAGTATCAGTTGTTTTATGAAAAGCCACATTCAGGTGAAATCTATCTGTATACCACCCATGCCTATGTCTGACATTCGGGTGGTATGGGTTTCATGTACTCAAAACCCCTTGTA